ACCGTGGAATCATATAGCGTAGTCTTAACATTCCCGCACCGCGCCCGGGCGCCGATACCGATCCGCGTTTGCACCGTGCGGGAGTAGTTTTGTTTTAATTTTTTACGGAGACGGTGCGGTCCCGGGCTGATCGAGGTGATAATCTTTTTGTGTAATCTAATATTGTCTGAATATTTTTATTCGTTTTATCAAAATCGAAAATAAAAATATTTTAGTTTCCTATTATATGTATATAAGAGTTTCAGTTTACTACTAACCTAATAATCTACTTTATGAAATTAAAAAATGATAAATAACTTCCCTTAAACATACCGCCAACCTTTCTTCTGGTGTAATTGACAGCCTCCAAAAGGCATCTTGCCTCTTCAGTCTTTTCTGCAGCTTCGTCAGTAGCTTATGAAATGTAGATTGTCATTCTAAAATATTGATAAAATTTTGATTCATCATCTATCAAATGGGGAAATAACGTGCGGAACTCCCCTTCAATTTGCCTTATTTTCCAAGGACTGTGTACCCAGTTATTTCTTTTCCGTTTTATACCATTTTTTTCTTCTTCCTTTTCCTCTTCGTCTAGTACAATAGCGACTATTACCAATTCCCTATTAGAAAAGGTGGAGAACATTTTTGTTCTTTCGAACCAGTCGCCTTACGATTCTAAGCAAACTGAGGTTTGAACGAGATCGCGACACGGCCAACATACGACCGTGTATTGGAGATGTGTGGCTTGTAGACAACGGACCGAGACTCGGCCGTGCTACGGAACGGGCTCGGTACGGACACGGTGTGGATTCGGTGCGGAAATGTGTGTATCGACCTTAATGCATTCGTTCCTAAAAAAGATTGCAATTAACTCAGCCCAGAATAGACCGCGACCGCCTAATGTGTTCTCTCCTTTAATGTAATGTAATTTTCTCTTGGCACAATTTGATACATTTATTTTGTAGTTGGAATTTTTGAGCAAGCAATGAATTATTGAAATGGATTTTACTAGAAAACGGCTCAGTTAAAATCTAACAAGAGTACCTTTTTTATGCAAAATATGATAAATTTTCATAATTTCGATTCGGGAAATAGAAAAAATTGCGTACAAAACAAATTGTAAAATTTGCCCCATGGCCCCGCATTTTCTTACGCCCCTGTAGCAAATTTTGATTTTTATATATTATGCCAATTATTAAGCATACAAATAGTAATACAACCCCAAAATTTCGCGATTTAATATTAAACCGTTTTGAAGTTATGCAATAAAAACTGTTTCCTGAGTTACCCCTTCAAGAGGCTGTATCTCCCTTAGGAGCCACCCCTGACAAAAATTCTACTAAGGTTTTCATCATATTTCGACATGTTTTACATACTCTCCAATTTTGAGTACTTATTTCGTTAACATCCCGTATATAAAAAGGGCAATAAATTAGAGGCAACTAATATAGGCCGATATCGCTGATAACCAATTTCACAAAAATATTTGGAAAGGTCATAAAATACAGATTAAGATTTTTAAAAATCGCTACGGTTTTCAAGAAAGCATGTCCACCCAGGATGAAATTATTCGTTTAACAAGAAGCTTTATATAATTCATTAGATAAACAATACTTCGCTGGTTATTTTCTAGCTAAGGCATTCAATACAATCAACTTTTCAAAACTTTTTACCTCTTTAGAAGATCTAGGCTAACATGGAGTTAATTTGAAATTATTTCGTACCTATTTACAGAAAAGAATTGAATATGTATGTTTAAATATGTAATCCAAGTACAATTAAATATGGTGTTCCCCAAGGACCTGGTACTTTTGCTATTTATAATATATGTGAATAACCTATTTTACTTAGAAAACCCAAGTCAAATAATTGTATTTGCTGATGATACGATTATATGTTATACAATTTCTAACTGGTCTATGCTGAAAAATAAGGTAGAAAAAGATTTCTCAAACATTTTTTTAACAATATGACTACTATAAATTTTGATAAACATTCTTTATTACATTTTCATCATAAAAATAAATTACCAACATATAGTGTTCTGGATATAAGGGATGGTAAACAGACCATACATATACATTCAACTTGAAATATTTAGAAATTTACATTGATTCACATCTAAAATGGGACATAAATGCCTATTATGTAGCTAAAAAACACAGGTCTATTATTGGGATTTCACGTAAAAATATTGACATACTTCAAAAAGGACTTTTTATTAGTATATTAAACAAGTTAGAAAAGCAAAGTTTTGCGAGCGAACTTTAATATAGCTTTTAAGCTATAAGAGTTTAGTAAAACTGCTTTTCTTACGAGATCTGTTGGGTGTCCCGTTAATATAGAGATATGAAACATATGAGACGTCACTGCTTTTTCTTAAGTGTCATATTTTTACTTATTAATATCAACAGGAGTGAGTCCCCGGACGCCGCTAGAATAGATAAAATAAATCAAATTACGTCAGAAGACATCTACCATTTTTATAAACAAACATACCAAATTTAAAAAAAATCGGAATTAGGGTTCTCCAGATTATTAGTAAAAACCTTGTATTTTCTCTAAATTTCAATTCCCTGTATCTCCAAAACGAAGCATTTTCGGACATATGTTTATAGGAACTTTCTCTCTTATTTTTGGTTAAGGAAACTCCCCCTATTTATTCGCAATATTAAGGGGACACCCTGTGTATTATTTTGTATCATTTTGTGTTAGTAGGCAGGCATTACAAAGTTGGAAATTATTAAAAAATTATTTATTTATACAATGTTTTTTTTAATGTACAAGGCATAATTTTTTTAATTCAACTTTTATAAAAAAAAATATTTCGTAAAGTTATCAGGTTTCGAGGGATCAAACTATGGTGACCTTGAATTTGGCATGAAGTCAATTATCAAGGTCACTCTTGATTTTTTAAATGGAAACCGATATTTTTTATTGCAGATTTGCAATATAAAACTGTAATAAAAATTAAAAAATCAAGGTCGCTCTTGAAATGACCTTGATAATTGACTTTAAGGTTAAATTCAAGGTCACGGTAATTTGATCCCCCTGAAACCTGACAACTTTTGTTGGCAAGATTTTTCACCATCCTGCTTATTCCTTGAGATATTAACCTGAGAATTAAAATGGAACAGTAACAGTACAGCGCACTCTGGCGAGAGAACGAAGCATTTTCAAAAAATATTTCATACAAAAGTTACATATTTTTTCCGCAGAATACGAATCTGCAATAAAAAATACCTATTTTAAGCATTACGTCAAGAGCGCCGCCGGACGCACCAACCTTCCAGGAAGAGTCTACGGCGGCTGCTTGCGCCGGCGACCAGATGCGTATCCATATACCTACGACCGACTCCACACACACAGGGACTCTCCAACGTACACTCAAACCGTCATAAATAAACATCAAAAAAAAATCAAATGAAATTATAAATCAAACGACTGTCTGAGAGATACTGAGTTTTATTCAAATTCCTTTTTCAGTTCAGTACAAGGATACTTTTTTATACTATTCAATATTATAAGTAAATACCAACTTAATTAATGACAAACACGTCTTTTTTTATACAACTTAGTTTTCAATAAAATACTTTATTATTACCGTTGAGAGAGCGTTTTATTTTTGATGTACAGTGAAAGCAACCCTCAGCCTTGATAATTAATTATACATTCAAGGTCACCATAATTTGACCCCTTCCGAAATATGATCACTTTTGTTCGAAATATTTTTTGTGAAAGTCGAATTTATTTTTAATTCGACTTTCACAAAAAATATTTTGCGACCTGGTACGCTAAAATGGGACACCTTGTATAATAACAGTTAAGTTTCATTTTTCTGAGTCAATTTGATTCTAAGTAGTTATTTATATATGTTAATTGTAAAAATGAAAATACTACTGAAAATTTAGAAAATTATTCTGAAGACAATTTAAATGCCGCTTCAGAAGCATCTTCGACCTTACGTCCTTTAAAATCAAAGGAAAAATACGAGGAGGTATAGTGTTTTTCATATAATTTCTTTCGTTATTTTTAGCAAAATCTATTAAGGCATCCAGTTTATAGTTTACATATTCATGTTGAAAAGTACTATACAAATAAACGAGAATATGGATATAGTACAATATAAAATTTTTAAAACATCAAAATACGTCATAAGAAGAAAATAAATCCCAGACGATAAGTTCTTATAAATGAAAGTGGTATTAGTATTTGGTTTAAATGGGGCAATCTGCGTGCAGAACTGTGCATTTTGACTGTTAAAGATATAGAAGACACGGGGAAAATTTGGTTATAACTTTACATGATACCAAAACCAAAAAGGAACGTGTATATTTACTGTAGGATAAGAGTGCAACGGATATGAAATTTATCATAAGTATGTACAATTGAGACCCAAACAACTAAAACTATAGATTTTTCATTTACGATAATCACGGTAAGTGTACAATACAAGCAGTTAACAACAACAGTTTTGCAAAAATTCCCCAGTGTTGCAGAATACTTAAAACTTCCAGATTCATCCAGTTACAGTGGCCATTGCTTGAGGAGGACGTCTGCCATCTTCCTCACTGACAGAGGAGCTGACATTCAAATACTTAAAAAGACATGGAGGATGGCAGTCAAATGGTGTGGCTGAAGGGTATATCGAAGAAAGCTTATAGATTTCCGAGAGGCCTAAAAAGTTTCTGCTTTATCAAAAACTTGATTTCAAAAACTCCAGATTTAGTGGAAAATCTCCAAAATGGTAATACTGGAGTGGAAGTAGCACTCTTGTCATGTTAGGATATTAGAAAGTATCCGTACAACTCGCCTTCAAACGTAGTACAGGTCTCTTTTAAACTTTTACCAGTGGCATACACAATGGATCACAAGATCCGAGTCAAAATAAATATCATGAAAAAACTTCTAATTGAGAGTAACAACTTTTGTATTTGGCATGTTTTTTAAACTTAAAAATAAAAAAGTTAATATGGGGATATATTGATAATGAACAGTCCGGTACATTGCATATTACTTACCAACGTTGTAGTTGATGTTCTGGTTTCTATTTGAAAGACATATACTCCGCTTGTTGACGGACATGTTTTGATGTTACATGCTGGTCCTAGATTTATTGATCCTTTACATGGTGATATTGCTTCGTATTCATCTTTCGATCGATAATAAAGTAAAAGTCTGCCTTCTAATACGAACCAGTATCTTTTATAGGAATTCATCATTTTCTAAAACACAAGAAGTAAAAGAAAAAATAATTTTTTTAACATAATTTTGCCTTTTGTTTTGAAGTTGGCTAGGAAAACAATACTTCTCCCTATCCACCTGTGACTAACAGACTAATGTTAATAAAATTGAATTTGCACAACTAATGACTATCAGCAGAGTGATCTATACAAAATATATTCTCTTGTTACCTAATACGCTGCCACTTTAAAATATCTTACACCCTCAACATTTTAGAAACGGTTCGAAATATAAAGGTCCCCGGAAAGATTTCTGTCAGAAGCTTTAACCAATCAAAGCCATCAGTCATGAAACACAATTGCAGTAACAGATTTGCTATAGATACATAAATTCTTTATACAATAGTTCAAAAAAATTTCAAATCGTTGAAGTTTAGTAAAAGTTACTTTTTAGTTTTGTTTTCTATAATCATTACTTAAAAATAATAATTATTTATTGTATAAGTGTTTTAAGTAGCATTTTATCCACGCAAGAATGTTTAAACGCAAGAACGTAGTTCGGGCGTTTAATATTCTTAGGGCCGGTTTTTCAATCGTTGGTTAACTCCTAACTTAAGATTAAGCGTCACTTTATTTTCTTATGTTTTAATGAAGAAGAAATAATTTTCTGTTGACATGCAAGCTTTTAACAAAGAATAAATTTATAAATTCATGTTTAATTTTTTTTCTTGGAATTTAATAAAATAATAAAATAATGAATAAAAAATATTCAAATGTCTTAATACTAGTACTGAATGAAACGTGGTAGGTTTTGTTATACCTACTGGTTGCTATGGTACGTTGATTAAGTGTTAATTATTTAATAACAGTTCTATCTGAATTTGGTAAAAATGCAAGAAATTAATTGTGTTCCTGTGGCTGTTTTTGAAGAAGCTCAAGAAGCAATTTTCCATTTATTGCCAGCGAAAGCCAGGGAGCATTAGGAAAAAGTGTTCGTCGAATTTAATGAATGGAGACAAAAACAGAGACTAATGACAATAAATGAAGAAGTCGTGCTATCGTATATTTTAAATTTGGAGGAAAAAAATAGGTAATTTTATCTATGTGGACGATGTTGAAGGCTTAAAGGTAAAGCTTTTTAAGTAAAAAGCGAGATATAGTGAAACACAATTAACGTGATAATTCTGGTTTATTGCCTCGGAATACTGATTTACAACATCATACAGCAAAGTAGGCTCGCTAACTGACTCATATTGCAAGCTTAGCTAAAACGGTCCGAGATATGTATACCATATCTGCACTATTAGGCGGTTTCAGATGACACAAGCGAACACGGCCTTCCTGACATAAGGGCGTCCTCGACCTTGCTTAAGTGCATCTGTAACATAACCATTCTTGGGCACTACCCATTATTAAATTTGGGTAGCTAGACAAAACAAGAAAAGCCTATAGCTTAGGGACCATCATTTACTTTTGCAGCCGTTAACATTTTATTAGGAAAACTCTGTTTAAGACAAAATTAATTGTATTGCCCAATTGGGGACCTCCAAAATAATTGTAATGCCCAAATGTGAATTTGGGGATCTCAAAAGTAAATGTACTGCCCAAATGTGAATTTGAGAACCTAAAAAGTAATTGTACTGCAAAAATGTGAATTTGGGGACCTAAAAAGTAATTGTACTGCCCAAATGTGAATTTGGGGATCTAAAAAGTAATAGTACTGCCCAAATGTGAATTTGGGATGTGAATTTGGGGATCTAAAAAGTAATAGTACTGCCCAAATGTGAATTTGGGGACCTAAAAAGTAATTGTACTGCCCAAATGTGAATTTGGGGACCTAGAAAGTAATTATACTGCCCAAATGTGAATTTGGGGACCAAAAATAATTGCATTGCCCAAATGTATATTTGGGGAACTCAAAAATAATTGTATAGCCCATATTGACTATGGGGACCTTAATCGATATAGCTTAAATTTAATTTGAGGATCTGACCTGACATTCTACAGCCCAGACGGGAACTTTAAACGGTTCATACTTTTTTTTATTGTTGAGTGTCGGGCCACGTGCGTAATTGCTCATGCGCCGCTACTGTGGTCCTACCTCGACCGCCAACTCGTTTTAACGCATACCTGTCATTAGGCAAACAATGCGTAACCTCAAAAGGATCTTGAAACTTCGGTTTCAGCTTTCCTTCATACGCTACTTGACTATTTTCAATAGACACCTATCACCAACAGTATACGGCACTGCCTCAATTCTCTTCTTGTTGAAGGTATTTCTTGCATGATCAGTAATTTGCTGTAACCGTTGCTTTGCTTTAATGTGTACAACATCGGCATTTATTAACTCCTTCCTTGCAGGAACGTCAATTAATAGTTCATCAGCCGAACATATTTTGTAAAAGAGTCTATTATCACTAGTATGTAAGTACATTTGTTGGATTTCACCAGCGGTCCAGCGTGATCAATATGCCATGTGTCTAATTTTGATGACGGTTTAGATTTTTGCTGACGCATTCCGTGTTTTTTTACCACTTGATGATTTTCCCAAAACATATGATCGACAATTTGAAACATATTTACGAACAGTTTTTCCCATATGTGGCCAAATGAGATCCTCTCGTAGTTTTGACAACATTTTATCAACACCAATATGAGATGACTCATCGTGATAAAGTCGCATAACATTAAGTCTTGCTGATATTGGCACAAAACACCTATCAAGTGTGTCATGTGGATTCTTCGCAAACAGTTGTGCGGCGACTGTAATAGGCCACGGGGTGCAAAACATTGTCCGTGTCTTTTTGCATTAACACTGCACCTAAACCTATCGAACTCGCATCGGTATGTAATTCCGTATATAAGCTCGGATCGAATATTTTTGAAATAGGATATTCAGTTAATCGTTTCACTAAGTCCAAACGAATATTTTCACATTCATTAGTCCACAGAAATGGCTGTCCCTTACGCAACAGTTTCGAAATTGGTGACGTTAAACTAGCAGAATTCTTGATAAAATGCCGAAAATAACCGGCAAGGCCTAAGAGCTGGCGAACACCTTTTATATCTGTGCGGAGCTACTGTCTGTACCAGAGCATTCACTTTTCGGGGATTCGGTTTTACAGTTCCTCTTTCAATCACAACACCTAAATATTCTATCGATGTTTTAAAAAAGCTACACTTTGCTAAGTTCAGCACAATTCCAGCCTTGGACAGAGTATCAACAACTAATCGTAAATTACCCAGACCTTCCTCAATAGTCTCCGCGGGATACAGCACGTCGTCAAATGTAAACGAAAGCAATATTGTCTTTCAACTATCCGAGAGTTTTATCAATGGCACTTTGATAACACGAAGGGGAGTTCACAAAACCAAATGGCATTCAGTTAACATGTTTCGATTCTTCTTCCACTTCTACCTGAAGAAATCCCTGTTTCATATCGAGTATACAAAAATAAACAAATTTCGCTAGAGAGTCAATCTGATCTTGTATACGAGGCAAAGGATAATTGTTGCGTAACACTTTTTTTGTTTACATTCCGATAGTCTACAGTCTTGTTTCATACGAGGCAAAGGATAATTGTTGNCAAAAATAAACAAATTTCGCTAGAGAGTCAATCTGATCTTGTATACGAGGCAAAGGATAATTGTTGCGTAACACTTTTTTTGTTTACATTCCGATAGTCTACAGTCTTGTTTCATACGAGGCAAAGGATAATTGTTGCGTAACACTTTTTTTGTTTACATCCCGATAGTCTACAGTCTTGTTTCTCCATTCCTTTTTTTACGAGTACAATCGGGCTAGCATATGCTGATTCACTTGGTCGTATGATTCCGGCTTGAATTTGTTGTTGTATAATATGCTTTACTTGCAATCGATCTCCATATGCTAAATGCCGAGGTTTGTGAGCGACCGGTTGTGAATCACGTAGTATTATTTTTAACTAGCCTGTTGTTACTGCGGGTGGCGTTTGATTTATTACATTTTGAAGGATAGTTCTTATTTCACTTATTAATTGCTCGTCCAATCCTGACAAATTTAATTCTTTATCGTCAAAAGTGTGCGCACAGCAAATTTGAAAGAAATTTGTTACTGGATCATGCATCATATCGACACTATTTTTATTTACTTCTATTTTGATTCCTGGTCGTTGGAGTACATCAAGGCCGATTATAGCAATCTCTAACAATCGGTTTCCAGTGTTGAAAGAAACGGGCAGCTCGTCCTCTGAGAGCGTGACCAGCCTTCAAAACAATCATGGTGTCGGACATTCCAAACTCCTGTTGAATTTTGGTGACGTCATCCACCCATTCCACCATCGTAAACGGTGTGTCATCAGGATCATAACTTGTCAACCGAATTTGCGATGATGCTGCCGCCACAACTTCGGGTATGTGATTGGATACAGGGATCTGAATTTGCGCCTGCGTACTTGTCGAAGCTGACTGCAGCGCCGCCTGGGATTGAATCGCTTGGGCGTTGGCCATCGTTGACAAAATTTGCATGATTTGATTTTGAAAGTGAATATTACTTTCCTGCTGAATTTTGTACATTTCCATCATTTTAGTGTCTAGTGACTCACTGACTCTCCCTACACCAACGGATGGACTAGTAGCCCGTTTAGCACCTTCACTTTGTTCATAGTCGTCAGCCATTGTTCTCGACGTATTTTAGTTTTCGCACAAAAAATAAAGCACTTTTAGGTCCTTTTCTCCTGTCCTAAAGACACTAGGAGGAATCCCACTTCTGATGTTAGCTTTTTAAGTAAAAAGCGAGATATAATGAAACACAATTAACGTGATAATTCTGGTTTATTGCCTCCGAATACTGATTTACAACATCATACAGCAAAGTAGGCTCGGTAACTGACTCATATTGCAAGCTTAGCTAAAACGGTCCGAAATATGTTTACCATATCTGCACGATTAGGCGGTTTCAGATGACACAAGCGAACATATATATATTGAAATGATATGGTTAATCTTAAGTTAGAGATCAAAAAATATATATATTGGGGATGTCGTCAATTGGTGGTTGAAAG